AGAGAGAGAGAGAGAGAGAGAGAGAGAGAGAGAGAGAGAGAGAGAGAGAGAGAGAGAGAGAATGTTGACTGCTGGATTCAGCTTGGCCGAACTGCGTCTTTCTCACAAAACATAATGGTTATGGGCATTTTCCAGGTGGCGAAGAAGAATGGCTACACCAAGATCCTTCAGGGTGATAGTGCCACACGCTTGGCTGTCCATGCCCTTGCGGCAACGTGCAAGGTGAGAAAGAAAGTCTTCTCATTCATTCCCTCTCCGAGAAACCGAAATTGAAGAGAAAAAATGTGGAAGAGTAAACCACCAGTACACCGGGGCCTGGGTGTGCCACACTGCGCGCCAAGCTTTGCCGAACATGTACTTCTTTTCTCTTTTTTGGCTGACGCTGCCAGCCATTGTGGTCCGGTAGCCCCGAGCGTCAGGAATATTGTAGGAGTAGTCCGCAAAGAAATCTTGCAAGTCTAGGGCCGTGTACTGGCGGTTTAAGAGTCGCACAGAAAAATGCATGCTGCACTGGCATTCCCTCTTCTACAGCTGCGTCTGCATAGTGAATGTGTCGGTGCCTCACATCGACACCCCCCCCACATGGCATCATTCGAGACCCTCCTTCACACCCCACCCACGGCATCATTCGAGACCCTCCTGCAGGTCAAATATAACCCTTCTCTGCTTGGCCTTGAAGCTGACAGAACAACCGTCGGTGTGTCTGTGGCCATTTGTTTGCCGCGCTCTTAGATCGCAGAAGTGTGACGTCTTCCCTTTGTCTGAATCTGGATCTATTCGTGCTGGTGATAACACTGATAAGTGACCGGACTGATGCCCCCCAGAATAGTTGGGGCCTTGAGTTGTTTGAAAAAAAAAGTGTGATGTCAAGCTGTTAAAGGCTGCGCAGAATTCCTAATTGTTAATCGTAACTTCTTGATTTCTCTTCCTCGGTGTCTTAGGGAGTTTGTACATTGATGGGAGCTTAACTGCATCGTGACTTTCCAAGTGCTTGATGATGTTGTTTTATCGGTGGACAGGGCCGCGGCTACAGTCTCCCTGCAGATGTGCAGTTCCTAGACAGAAGATGGGATATCCCTGTAATCCGACCACTGCGAGAATGTCTGGCGAAGGAGTTGGCGACACATGCTCGGAAGGCAATGTATGTCGCAGTTGTCCTTCATGCTTTGTGGGGCAGGTGGTTGTGTGTGTGTTTTGTGTTTTTTTTTTAATT